TTGGAAGCTAGGTTCTCAGTATAAGCATGGACTCCAGCACTGAGCTGCAGCCAGTCCCTCCTGGAGGCTTGTTTGTTGGACATAGAATTTTTTATACATACATACAGACACAAAATTAAAAGTTACGGGGAGCCGGGCGTGGCGTGCACGCCTTTAATCCCAGCACTTGGGAGGCAGAGGCAGGTGGATCTCTGTGAGTTTGAGGCCAGCCTGATCCACATAATTCCAGGACAGCTGAGGCTGCAGGGAGACCCTGTCTCAAAAAGACCCAAAAATAAAACTTACTGGGGCTGGAAAGATGGCTCAGTACTTAAGAGTTTAAAATTTTAAAAACCGGCACTGGAGAGATGGCTCAGCGGTTAAGAACACTGGTTGTTTTTGCAGAAGACCCGGGTTTGAATCACAGCACCCACATGGCAGCTAACAACTGTCTGTAACTCCAGTCCCAGGGCATCTGACACCCTTTTCAGACCTCCATGGGCATAGTACCACACGGGTACACTTACCTACCTGCAGGCAATACACGCATACACACAAAATAAAAATAATAAAATTTTTAGAAAAAGAAAAAAATGGGGCTGGAGAGATGGCTCCACAGTTAAGAACACTGACTTTTCTTGCAGAAGACCCGGGTTCAAATCCCAGCACCCACATGGCAGCTAACAACTATCTGTGACTCCAGTTCCAAGGAATCTGACAGTCTCTTCTGACTTCCATGGGCATTGCATGACACGGGTGCACTTACCTACATGCAGGCAATACAAGCATACACAAAAATAAAAATAATAAATGTTTTTAAAAAAAATTTAAAAACCATCTTTACAGCTTTATGGTACTAAAATTCTCTTGTGTGTGTGGTATATGTATACAGAAGCCAAAGGTCTCAATCACTTTGTGTGTGTGTGTGTGTGTGTGTGTGTGTGTATATGTATGAGTGCATTGCCTGCATGTATGTGAGTGCACCCGTGTTGTGCAAAGCGGAGGTCAGAAGAGGGCTGGAGTTAAGGACGGTTTGTAGCTGCCATGTGGGTGCTGGGAATTGAACCTGGGTTCTCTGCAAGAGCAGTCAGTGCTCTTAACCGCTGAGCCATCTCTCCAGCCCCCCCCCCCTTTTTTTAATGTGTATGAGTATATTGCCTACATGCATGTAATACGTACAACCGTGTTGTGCAGTACCCACAAAAGTCAGAAGAGGGTTGGATCCCCTGGATCTGTAATTGTGAATGATTGTTAGCTACCATGTGTGCACAAGTGTGCTCTTTGTGGAAGCCAGAGAAGAACATTAGGTATCCTGTTTTATTTCTTTTTTTTTGGTCTTTTTGAGACAGGGTCTCCCTGTAGCCCCAGCTCTCCTGGAACTCACTATGTAGACCAGGCTGGCCTTGAACTCACAGAGATCCTCCTGCCTCTGCCTCCCAAGTGCTGGGATTAAAGGTGTGTGCCACCACGCCCGGCATTCTTTCTTTTTTTTTTTTTAATATTTTATTTTATGTGTATGCTTGTATTGCCTGCATGTAGGTAAATGTACCCATGTTGTGCAGTGCCTGCGGAGGACAGAAGAGACTGTTGAATCCCCTGGAACTGGAATTACAGACAGTTGTTAGCTGCCATGTGGGTGCTGGGATTCGAACCCGGACCTTCTGCAAGAACAGTCAGTGTTCTTATCTGCTGAGCCATCTCTGCAGGTGCCCCCCCCCCCCCGCCTTTTATTTCTTATTTCCTTGAGACAGGGCCTCTCACTGAGCCAGAAGGTCATGTTTGTTTCAACAAGCCCCATGATCCTCATGTCTGAGGTCCCCTACCAGTGCTGAGGTCATAAGTAACCATGGTCATGCCTGACTTATTTTATTTTATTGAAATTTGGTCATCACTGAAGATCTGAACTCATGGTTCAGATGTAATAATTTTTATTCTATAAACAAATAGCTTAACGTTGAGCCATAGGGCTATTTTGAAGGAAGTCAGCTTTGTGGCTGAATGTTCAAACGTGTTCTTTCATTCTTAAGTGCAGCTTTTGGGGGGGGGCAGGGGGGTTTTTGAGACAGGGTCTCCCTGGAGCCCCAGGTGGCCTGGAATTTGTTACGTAGACCAGGTTGACCTCAAACTCAAAAAGATCCACCTGCTTCTGCCTCCCAAGTGCTGGGATCAAAGGTGTGCGCCATCACGTCTGGCTTAAGTACACCTTTTAAGGAAGATGTTTGTTGTTGTTTTTTGGTATGTATATGTGAATATAACCATATTTGTCAAAAACTATGCCAAATAACTTCCTTAACGATCTTTTTCTTTGCCCTTTGGAAACTAAGGGACTTGGTATATTGGTTATACATATGCTAATGACACATTAGAGAAAATACATAATCCTCACTAAACTGAGTAAATGCTTACTATTTATACTAGCAGCTTTGAAATTTCCTAATTGCTCTAATTCTCTGGCTTTCTGAATGATTCTGTGCCTCAGAATTTAATCTAGTTTGGGCATTTAGGACAGTACTTTTCTGCTGATTTCCAACACTTGGCTTAGCAGTGTATAAGTCCTGTTAATTTAAATTTAAATGAGACTATCAGTGATAATATTTTAATATTTTAATTCTCAATTTGCTTTGTTCCTTCAAAGATATATGTAGAGTCAGACCCTTACAAATACAAAGTAAATTAGGACTAGCCTTTATTAACTTCTTTTCTCCGCTTTTCTAGGTTCATGCTGAATACTCTAGATTTGTGAATCAAATTAATACTGCTGTACCTTTACCAGGTATGTATGACTTAAAGTGTTAAAAATATTTTGAAATGATTATGTCTAAATGTGGTACTTGAGGCTAGACTAGTTGTGCCAGGGCACTAATGGTGTTCCCTTCAAGTGGGGTGACTTGGAAAGCCATTTGTGTCTCAGTATTTTTCTTCCCTAGATATTGTTTAATAATCAGGTAAAAATCTCATTCTGCTGCAGCTGATTAAACACTTTTTTTCTTCCCCCCTCAGGCTATACACAACCCTCTGCTATAAGTAGTATCCCTCCTCAGCCACCATATTATCCATCCAATGGCTATCAGTCTGGTTACCCTGTTGTTCCCCCTCCTCAGCAGCCAGTTCAACCCCCCTACGGAGTACCAAGTATAGTGCCACCAGCTGTTTCATTGGCACCTGGAGTCTTGCCAGCATTACCTACTGGAGTCCCACCTGTGCCAACACAATATCCGATAACACAAGTACAGCCTGCAGCTAGCACTGGACAGGTAGGATGCCAGGATGTGCTATGTGCTGTTGTTTAATGTGGGGAAAAATGGCAAAGAAATAAATCACATACTAAGATATTTTTCTTGAATACTTTGAGATAATGTGTACATGTATGTATATCATCCACAGTTAATAGTTTCCACAAATTTTGCCAATGTGCACATAAGGTCAGAGGATAGTGTGCAAGAGTGGGAGTTGGTTCTCTCCTTCCTTGTGGGTTCTATAGATTGAATTCGGGTTATCAGGCTTTGTAGCCATGGCACACATGTGGTGGTCAGAGGACAACTTGTGGGTTGGGGGATTGAACTCAGGTCATCAGGCTTGTAGACATGTTGCCTTTATCAGCTGAGACACCTCACTTGCCTCCTTCTGTTATTTGAAATGGTTTCATACAGCCCAGGCTGACCATAAACTCCTGATCCTCCTGTCACTCTCCCATGTGCTGGGATAAAAGACCACTATGCCCAGCTCTGAGTTAGCTGTTCTAATCTGAGAAATAAATTTTAACAGGAAGAGGAGAACTCAGTAAAGTCCCTGCCACATAAGCACGAGGACCTGAGTTCAACCACCAGAACCCAAGTAAAAATCTGGATGTGAGACTGGGCTGGGTGATGCAAACCTTTAATCACAGTACTTGGGAGGCAGAGGCAGGTAGGTCTCTGAGTTCCAGTATAGATAGGGCTATACAGTGAGACCCTGTCTCAAAATTCCTATGGTAGTGATACATGTTTATAGTGCTGTGCATAGGCAGGTGAATCCCTGGGGTGCTCTGGCCAGCTAGCCTAGCTAGGTCAGCAAAAGACCCTGTCTCAAAAACCCAAAGGGGCGGGAGAGATGAGAGTTAGGAGTACTGGCTGCTCTTGCAGAGGACCTGGATTTGTTTCCTAGCACCCACATGGCATTTTGCAACCACTTATAGCTCCAATTCCAAGGGATCCAACCTCTCCTCCCCTCCACAGGCACCTGCACATACAGTGTACCTCCATACCCTCAGTTGCACATAAACACATAAAATCTTTCTAAAATTATTTTTTTTTGTGTGTGTGTGTATGAGTGTTTTGTGCAGTGCCTGTAAAGGTCAGAAGAGGATGTCAGATGCCCTGGAACTGGAGTTGTGTGTGCTGGGAATCGAACCTGGGTCCTCTGCAAGAGCAACCCATGCTTCTAACTGCTGAGCCATCTCCAGCCCATAAAATAAACCTTTAAAACCAACCAACAAGGTGAACTGTGCCTGATGAACAAAATGCTTGGTTGACCTCAGGCTTCCACATGTCATTGGCACATATGTGCCTGCTTCCCTACATACTTAGATATACAAAGAAACATACATAGTCAGATAGTCCTAGAATAACAGGCATGAACTTTCCAAACTTCATGGGTCATAGATGTGGATATATCTCTTAAAATATCTTTATGTAATAAAATGGAATTTTAGGGGCTGGAGGTGTTGGTGTTTTGTTTTGATTTTTTTAAATTTATTTTTATGTGTATGTGTGTATTGTCTGCATGTATGTAAGTGCAGCCGTGTAGTGCCATGCCTACAGAGTACAGAAGAGGGTGTCAGATCCCCTAGAACTGGAGTTAGGAATAGTTAGCTGCCATGTAGGTGCTGGGATTCGAACCTGGGTCTTCTGCAAGAACAGCCAGTGTCCCAGTACCAACTTATAAAAAAAGGGAGGAAATGGAATTTTTGGAAAAGACTAGGTGTCTAACCTATCTGCATATATTCTCTACAATCCTCAGATGCAAGGGAATATGAAATTGTAGCATGGTAATGGATTTATGATGGGTCATTCCATGCCAGAATGAATTGCATTCTGAAACCATTGCATAGCTTTTCTACCTGTGGACTGTGAGCACTGAAGAAGGTTGTACAAGTATTACCAAAAAGGGCTTAGGGGCTGGACAGGTGGCCCAGCAACTAAGAGTGCTTGGACCCCAATTCAGATTCTATACTCACCCTGTCCTTCTTATGCTTGGTAAACTCCAATTTGGGAGGAGGCAGAGTTGAGAGTTATGAGACTGCCTCAAGAATAGGTGGAGAGTAATGGGGGATACCCCATGCCTTCTTGCCTACAGGTGTATGCATTTGCATAGGTGTGTGCATGCACAGCAGTAAAAAGACTTAAGACTTAAAGGTGTGGTAGCACACACCTTTAATCCCAGCACTCAGGAGGCAGAGGCAGGCGGATCTCTATGAGGTCAAAGCCAGCCTGGTCTACATAGTGAGTTCCAGGACAGCTGGGGCTACAGGGAGACCCTGTCTCCAAAAAACCCAAAAAAAAAAAAATAAAAAAAAAAAAAAAAAAAAAAAAAAAAAAAAAAAGACATAAACTAAGTGCTGTTTATAATTCTTACTCAAAATTATATTACTTTACAAATTTTTTTTTTTTTTAATTTTATATGTATGAGTGTTCTGCCTATATGTGTGTAAGTGCACCCATGTCATACAGTGCCTGTAGAGGACAGAAGAGAGGGCGTTGGATCCCCTGGAACTGGAGTTATGGATGGTTGTTAGCCGCCATGTGGGTGCTGGGGTCCAAACCAGGATCTTCTGCAAGAACAGCCAGTGCTCTTAACTGCTGAGCCATCTCTCCAGCCCCAAAATTATTACTTTTTATACTCAGACGCAATGTTAAACTTTGAGCTATAGACCTTTGTAATTGACACATGTCATAAGGCATAGTGGGTAAAAGCTGCAGTGAGACTCGAAGTTTGGCATTTGTTTTTTTTATGTGAACTTGGGGTATAACTTGTCCTAGCAAGCCTTTGGATTTACTTAGGTAAAGGGAGGACACAGTGATAGACTCTTAAAGGATGCAAAGATTAGGTAATTAAAAATATTTTTAGGCCAGGCGAGATAGTGCATGCCTTTTAATTCCAGTCCTTATCTCAAGGAGTTTGAGGCCAGTCTGCTCTACATAGCGAGTTTTAGGCCAGCCAAGGCAACATAGTGAAAGCCTGTCTCCAAAAAAGAAAAAAAAGAAATTCTTGCTTTGTGACTAATGGAATGAGATTTTTATTGTTTAGTAAGGATGTTTTCTCCTCATACCCCAAATGCACTTCAGGTTTATCCTGAGAATTCAAAGCACTCTATATTGGTTGTTCAATTTGGTAAGGTGGGAAGGATAGATAATATCCTTATAGATAAGATATCCTTATCCAAACCATATAGAATGACAGAGTCCTGAGAGATGTTGGTTGTTAAAGCCGATTTTAATCATATTCATTGGGTATCTCATACTTTTTTCGTCCTTGGTTTGTTTTGGTCCTAGAGTCCAATGAGTGCTCCTTTTATTCCTGCTGCTCCTGTCAAAACTGCCTTGCCTGCTGGCCCTCAGCCCCAGCCTCAGCCCCCACTCCCAACTCAGCCCCAGGCCCAGAAGAGGCGATTCACAGAGGAGCTGCCAGATGAACGGGAATCTGGACTTCTTGGATACCAGGTTAAATAAAATACCCTGTTTCCTTCCTTGGTCCTGTCTTACTCTGTTCTCCCTTTAAGGAAAGTTGAATTTGCATCTGTATCAACTGTCTTCTTAGGATAGGATTTTTGCTTTCTGGAATCTGCTTATGTTAGAATTTTATTCTTGAGAGATTATTTTAAAGCCAGATTAATTCTCTTGGCAGTTTGTAAACTTTGAGGACAGTATGATAAAATACAAAGCTCTTAGTGTAGAGGACAGTCTCCAGAGGCTAATTTCTAGAAAGAGATGTGGAGAATTGTATGCTTCCTCCTACTCACACGCTCTGAAAGCCGCTCCATTCCTTACATAAGCTCACAAAAAGCTGTCGACAAACATGTAGCTTGTATTTAACCTATGGCTCTCCATTTGCTTTTCTTTTTGTCTCTTTAAACAAAATATTAAATTCTCTTGACTCCACCCTCCTCCCCACCCCATGTAAAGCCTGCCAGAAATGGAGTCATAATATTGTAAATATGGTCACTCACAGTGAAAAAATTGGGTGTAGCTCTCAGTGGAGTACTTGTCTAGCTCCCACAAGGCCCTGTTTAATCCCCAGTACCAGGAAAGATGAGAGTTTTGTTGCAGTTTTGTTAGAAAAAGCACCTATAGGTTTTATCACACAGTCCTTGAGGCAGCTTTAAACCAAAACCTTTCTGTAGTTAATAATAATGTGTTTATAGAAGCCAGTTCCATTAGGAGCAGTCAGCCGAAAACACAATGAATGACACCATCTCATGACTTAAGTTCTACAAAGAAAAGGAATCCTTACTTTGTGTGTAGCTTTACTTCAAATCTCAAAGAACATGTAATGCCATTTAATTTATGACAGTTTATCAGAAAGATGAGGCACTTGACAGTTACATTAAGGAGCTAAAGTCAATACAGCAGTTGTAGATTTGCTAATGCTACTGTATTTTTCTGCTCATAGCATGGACCCATTCATATGACTAATTTAGGTACAGGCTTCTCCAGTCAGAATGAGATAGAAGGTGCGGGATCGAAGCCGGCAAGTTCCTCAGGCAAAGAGCGAGAGAGGGACAGGTAAGTTAGTTGAATAATGTATTGTAAACTGGACAATGCAATGATAGTCCTTTCACTGTCTTAGACACAGTTATATACTCAGCTTTGGGGAAAATCTCCCAAGGTTAGGCAGTAACAGAAGTGTTAATACAATCAAGCCATTTTTACTACTTTGATATGATAGAGGCAAGTGTGGTGGTGTACACCTGAAGTCCCACCACTCAGGAGGAGGAGACAGGGAGGATCAGGAGTTCAAGGAAATCAAATTTGAGGTCAGTCTGGGCTACGTGAACTCTATCTCAAAAAAAAAAGAAATAGAGGAGAGTATCAAGACTGGAGGTATTTGAAACAGAGTGTGTTGAGGATTTAATGCTTGAATTCTCCTTTCTTGTATTGTTCATTAGCATTCAGTAATATAGAGTTTAGATTGGTTAAGAGGGAACTGAGTTCTTCCTCCAACCATTCATGCTATTTTGGGCATGGCCTGCTTATATAGACAGGCTTGATAACAGCTTGAAGAGGGTAAGGGTAGGAGGAAAGGTACAAACGGTTGAAGTGAATGGTTAAAGTGAATTTTTTATTGCTATTCCACTTTGGGATAGATAATATAAAAGGCTGAATCTGTCTGAAAAGAAATTTCCTATTTTTTTAACAGGCAGTTGATGCCTCCACCAGCCTTCCCAGTGACTGGAATAAAAACAGAGTCTGATGAAAGGAATGGATCTGGGGCCTTAACAGGAAGCCATGGTGAGTAAGGTGTAACTGGGGGACAGGGTGTCTTAGTGGGATGCTCTTACTTAAGCCTTACTTTTCTAACCTGGTGGTCATTCAGGTATTTAATCCAACCTCTACAATCTATTGGCTAATAAAAGCACCCTTTTTATTTATAAGGACAGTGTATATATCTTTATTTTCAAGCAGCCTGTGTCTTTGAAAGAGTTGGTTGCGTTGTATTTTATAAATAGCATCGGAGCCTGGGAATATTAACAATTGGGAGGTCATTTCAACCTAGATGTTGTCTGACTGGAGGTAATCTGATGTAGACTTTGCAAAAGTTCATTTTTCTTTGTATTGGGAGCTGAGCCACATCATCTGACAGCACCCCAGAACTCAGCAGCCTGTAGTGGTGCGTGGGGTCACTTTTGTTCTTTGCCTCTAGTCATAATAAAAAAAGAGCAGGGAAAAAATTAGTTTTTTTTTCTTTTCTTCTTTTCTTTTAGCTCTTTAAGAGGTGAAATGTCAACACACAGAGACTCACTTGCTAATTTTCCTTTTTTCTTTTTCTTTTTTTTTCTTTTTTTTTTCTTTTTTCTTTCTCTGTTTTCTTACATGGTTCTGGTGGATTCACATTTGCTGGTGCTGGCTGTTTTTCGTGTGATCTTCAACGTTTTGGGGTGACCATTGACCCTGTGACTTCAATATGGTGTCCGACTAACCACTTAAAATTAACATCTTTTTTTTTCTTAACAAATTTATGGTATTATTTTTTTTCTTCGTGGGGAATGGGGTTGGGGCTGTTTTTTCTATTCTAGATTATCCAGCCAAGAAGATGAAAACTACAGAGAAGGGATTTGGTTTAGTAGCTTACGCTGCAGATTCATCTGATGAAGAGGAGGAACATGGAGGCCATAAAAATGCAAGTAGCTTTCCACAGGGCTGGAGTTTGGGATATCAGTACCCTTCATCACAACCTCGAGCTAAACAGCAGATGCCATTTTGGATGGCCCCATAGGAAACAGCGGAACAGAGTTCGACCCTCGGTGACTCTTCTTAGCAATAATGCATGCATTTGATTTAACAAGACTGTGGGGCCTGTTCTGGGGGCCATCTTGAACCTTTGAAGAAGTTAGAGATGCAGTGTCCCCTGTCTTAAAGGGATGCCATTCTTTTTAAAATTTTATTTCTGCAGTGGCTTAACATCTGTTCGATTTTACTTAGAATCACAAATCTGTCTCAAGCTTTTTAGGTAAAATGTACTTGCCTAGAGAAGCATCAGGGCAGAGTCATTGCCCATGTGTTTGACCTTGTCTAGCCTTTTCCAACTGAAAGGCCTCAACTCTGATGTAAAGAAAGTTTTATTTGTATTTTACTATTGTTGGGTCAATTTTGATAATAACCGGTTACAAACAGAGCCTTACTATTTATTAGTGGGGAAATGATTTTAAGATCATCCTTTCCTTCAGTACTTAACAGTTCTAAGAGCCTCATCCCTTTTTCAGTTTGGATTCTTTCTGTTTTGGAAAATGCTGTTTACTATTAAAATTGTCAGATACAACTGGATCCTGAATAGGAAAACGAAGTTATTTTTGCATTGTGTCTTCACTCGATGATCCAAGACTGGCACCTTCAGGCACATTGTTTCAGATAGCCATTGCTGTTTTTACTGCCATTCTAAGCTCCTTGTCTTCAGCTGGGTCCAAGAAAACTTGACTAAAAAGCTGGTCAGAACTCCTCACAGAAATGAAACACAGTGATCTCTCTCTCAGAACTGGTTGCAGCAAAAATAGAGAGATTTGATGACACTCACTAGGGTGGTGGACTTAGTGACTGAAATTGCAGCTTCTCCTTTTTTCTTGGCATTACAGGTTTTGCCAAAAGAACTTTTTTTGTATCAAATATTGATGTGTGAAAGTGAAGGAGCTAGTCTGCTGAACCAGGAGTAGTTTGGGATACTGAACTGTCATTTTTGCACATTTGAATACTTTGCAGGCTGGCTTTGTACAAACTTACCCTCTGGTTTCCTGTATGTTGTAAATAATTAGAACATAATTTCATTATAAATAAATGTATAAACATTGTTTGTCATTTCTTTTTTCTTACACAGTCCATCCATACACTAAAAATAATAAACTTTACTCATCACATAATGCAATCAATGATAGCCCCACAAAAAACTGTAGGCTCCAAAATTTATATAGTTCCTTGAGTTTATAACTCTGCCAAGTATATCCTTAAAGTCCAAATGAAAGATTTACAGACAAAAAAAAAAAAAAGAA